TCTACTCCGCCAGATTCGGCCGCCTTGCTAGCGGCCTCCTGCACATCTGGGGAGGATGCGAATGTCGCAAGTCCTCGGTATACTTACGAGGATTATGTTGTCCACTTGGTTCCACCGCTGGACCAACCGCTCCATGTGCAACAGTCCACGACATGCACCGTTTCATCACCATCGGCAACCGATTCGGCAGCTTCGCCGCAATCTATCGCCGGGGATTCGACGTCATGGTCAAGACTTGAAGAGCTCGACCCRTTGACGTTCACGGACTTCCAATGGATGCCCGTTCCCTCGACCGGATGATTGCCGAAACCGCATTGCAACGTGCTTACGGCACAATTGCGGGACTACTTGCACACTGCAGTACCAGCTCCGTTGATAGACGCCGGAGCAGAGGTTGTCGACCTTCACGTTTACATCGCAAAGATCGACCGCGAGTTCAAGACGCAACGGTACGACGACATCGACGCACCATTGCTATACGTACGCATTCAGATCGGAGAGGCGACCTGCAGCGCCTTGATCGATTGCGGAGCATCTCGCAACTACATCAGCCACGACTTCATGGTACGCGCCGGCCTTGGCCCACGTGTCTGGAGGAAGTCCCAGCCTACGCAAGTCACTCTGGCAGACGGTCATACGCACAAGTCCATCGACCGGTGCATTGACGCCGTCCCAGTGTACTTTGCCCCTCACGCAAGTAAGGCGGTGTCCTTTGACATTCTGGACACCAAATTCGACATGATCTTGGGCATGTCATGGCTGCGAAGCAAGGATCACCCGGTGAACTTCTTCAACCACACCGTTCACGTTCGTGATCGGAACGGAGTATTAGTTCCATGTATGGTGCCTCTTCCTCATCCTTAGATCAACTGCCACGTGGTATCCGCCGCAAGCATGCAAGCTTCCATCATCAGAGACGACATCGAGGAGATGGGGGGGTGTTTTCTCCACGCCCTCCCGCCCCATGACGCTTCGTCGACAAACTCACCTTCGGATCCACGCATCACCGAGCTTCTCGACGCTTACAGCGACGTGTTCGAAGGCCCGCACAGAGTAGTACCGGATCGACCCATCCGCCACGAGATCATCCTCGAGGACGGGGCCGTACCTCCGCGCGGTTGCATCTACCGAATGAGCGAGGAAGAGTTAAGTGTGCTTCGGGCACAACTCGACGACCTTCTGGAGAAAGGTTGGATTCGGCCTAGCTCATCGTCATATGGTGCTCATGTTCTCTTCGTCCGGAAGAAGAACAAGGATCTGCGGTTGTGCATCAATTATCGCAAGCTCAACGCGCAGACGATCAGGAACGCCGACCCTCTCCCACGCATCGACGACCTTCTCGAGCGATTGGGCGGCGCMCAGTTCTTCTCTAAGCTGGATCTCAAGTCAGGGTACCACCAACTCGAGATTCGCAAGGAGGATCGCTACAAGACCGCGTTCAAGACACGGTATGGGCATTTCGAATGGTTGGTCATGCCGTTTGGCCTTACGAATGCCCCAGCCACTTTCCAAGCGGCTATGACAACGGAGTTCCGACACATGCTGGATCGGTTTGTACTCATCTACCTCGACGACATCTTGGTGTGTAGTCGGAGTTTGGACTAGCATGTGGAGCACCTGCGCACCGTTTTGGAGCGGCTACAACAAGCCAAGTACAAAGCAAACCGCGACAAGTGCGAGTTCGCACAGCAGGAGCTGGAGTACTTGGGACACTATGTGACGTCGCAAGGCATCCGTCCGCTTGCGGACAAGATCGAGGTCCTACGAGTATGGCCCGAGCCCACCTACACCACGGACGTTCGTTCATTCATGGGATTGGCGGGCTACTATCAGCGATTCATCACCGGATACTCCAGGATTGCTGCACCTATGACGAGGTTACAGTCGCCAAAGGTGCCATTCGTATTCGATGACGACGCACGCCGGTCATTCCAAGCACTTAAGACGGCTATGCTCATGGCACCCGTCCTTAGCATCTATGACCCCACCCTGCCGACGCGAGTGACTACNCCGTCCTTAGCATCTATGACCCCACCCTGCCGACGCGAGTGACTACGGACGCTTCCGGCTATGGCATTGGGGCAGTCTTGGAACAGCACGACGGCTACGACTGGCACCCTATGGAGTATTTCAGCCACAAAGTGCCTCCCATCAACTCGCTTGATGATGCAAGGAAGAAGGAGCTGCTCGCATTCGTGATGGCTCTCAAGCGCTGGCGGCACTTCCTCCTTGGACGTCGTTGGTTCACATGGGTCACAGACAACAATCCATTGACCTACTATAAGACGCAGGACACGGTGAGCAACACGATCGGACGATGGATGTACTTCATCGACCAATTTGACTTCACACCGAAACATGTCCCCGGCCTCTCCAATCGCGCAGCAGATGCACTCTCACGAAGACCTGATCTTTGCGCTATGTCACATCATGCCTTCGCATTCGACGAGGAGCTTCAACGACACTTCATCCGGGCATATCAGTCTGATCCGGACTTCGGCACGCTCTATGCACAACTATCTTCAGATCACCCGCCGGCCAACCATTTCCGAATTGTCGACGGGTACTTGCTCCTCCACTCGAGAGGCAAGGACTTACTATGTGTCCCACGCGACTTTCATCTTCGGACTCGCCTCCTCGGCGAGTACCGTGATTCACGACTCGCCGGCCATTTCGGAGTCAACCGCACTATTGCACGGCTTCGACAGCGATTCCGATGGCCCGACCTCATTACCGATGTCACTCGGTATTGCGACTCTTGCGAAGTTTGCCGACGCAGCAAGCCCCGCAACCGCAATCCCTACGGCGAGTTACACCCGATGCCTATCCCACGGGAACCCGGTCTCTCCATTGCCATGGACGTCACCGGTCAGTTTCCTCGCGACCGGCTCGGGCACGACGGCATCGTCACGGTTGTGGACCGATTGAGTAAGTACGCGCGTTTTCTCCCTTGCAAGTACTACTCCACGGTTCCCGAGATGGGTGCACACTGGTTGGATTTGTGGCCACGGTGTACCAAAAGACATTGTCAGCGACCGCGACACTCGTTTCATGTCGGCGTTTTTGACTGCTCTCATGCAGGAGTCCGGCACAACAATGAAACCAAGTTCGGCTCGACATCCTCGGACAGACGGGCAGACGGAGCGAGCACATCAGACCGCTCAAATGATGCTTCGTACGCTCATCCTTCCGGACCAGAAAAATTGGGTTGACCGCCTCCCCGATATCGAGTTCGCCTACAACACTTCGGTGCATCCGGCGATCGGCATGACTCCATTCAAGTTGCACCACGGTGGACGGAAAGGTCGGATCTTCGCAGACCTTCTCCTCCCTCGACCAGCCGACATTGACGCTGCCTGCTCTCCCGCTTCCGGTCGGAAGTACAGGGAATTGGTGACTCAAGCCCGCGCAAATATGCAAAAGGCTCAAGTCCGCATGCAACAGAAAGCCAACAGGCGTCGCGTACCATGTCCCATCCGCGCCGGTGATCTGGTTTGGGTCTCCGCGGAAGAGTTTGCACTGGAACAGGATGTTTCACGCAAACTGCTTCCCAAGTGGTTTGGACCTTGGTCTGTGACAGCAGCCGCGGGCGATGAGCCCGATGGCCCTTCCTTTGTGATCAACATTCCAGAGCATCTAACGGTCCATTCGGTCCTCCACGCCTCGAAGCTGGCAACATACACGCCAGCCAAGAGCGACGACTTTCCGGACCGACGATTGCAGGACCCTCCTTCTTTTTTCTTTTTTCTTTTTAAACAGGGCCCAGTGCCCAAGGCTGATATTCAGAAAACAAGAACAAGTTCGGGGTCCTCACAATCTACCCGGATATGTCACTACTTGGGAGCCTTACCCAGTTTTGCTTTTACGAGACCCCGAGGGACCCGGGAACCAAAAGTTAAATCCAAAATAATACCCATACAAAATAAGGAAGATGCCTGCCTCTTCAGCAATTCAAGCCGCCAGATCTAACATGCCAAACCAAGCAGCTGCCTCCATATTATGATATTTCTACTAGCGATGTATGAGATGGGGGAAAAAGATCTGCAAAATCTCTAGGGTCCCTTGGAGAGGCTCCTGGTTGTAGTGAAAACCAGTCCTTGAAACAGAGTTGGAAATCTCTTCTAAAGAAGACTTCCGACCCTTTTCCTCTTGGCCATGTCACTTCACCCAGATTCCTTTCCCCTGCACCCCCCAGCCAGTCGGCAATAAATTCCTGAATTAAAAGTTGAATATCTTTCTTCCTTTGTAATTTGTGTAATTTAGAACATAACACATTCCAATGGGCTCTGATTTCTGTTCGTATGAACTGAACAATATATTCAGAGATTTCAGATCCCTCCAGTGCTATATTTTCCCTTTCCAAAACACAACGTTTATACCATAGGACCCAAACGATCGCTTTCCTACCAATTTCGAAAAAATTAGACTGAAAGGCAGTTAGCGTGGTATCCTATGGGCACCAATGTCCTACCAGAATAGTTTTCCATTCCCGAGGTCAATCCAACCCAGTGAGCTCCCTCCAAACATAGTCCCATCTCCTCCATAATAGAGCCGACCCAGGGCACTGCATAAAAATATGTTCAATAGTTTCCCTACACCTTTTGCTAGGAAAATTCGCTACACATGACTTGCATCAAGGAAGGGCCAAACCCTTTTGTTCCAAAGAGGAGCGGTCTATGATCCAATCGTTAGTTGGCAGACAACGATGTGCAATTTGCCACTGCAATGATGAGAATTTGACTGGGCGTTGTCTGATTTTATTAAAAAAAAATATTTTTTTAATTGGGTTTATATCTAAATTAAAGTGTCTAGTCCATCTTTCCCAGAGAATTGAAGAAATGTCCACTCTTGGCCTCAGTAGACGATAGGCTGGTTTCCTTGTTAGTGATTGTAACGATCTGGGTTGACCTTTCTTAGTAGTTTGTCATATCCACTCTGCAGGATCAAGCGGAAGTTCCGGAATAGGTATTTCTGGATGAAAGACTCTCCATCCTTTTATAGAGGAGATGAAGAGAACTCTGATTCAATACATATGTGTCAAGGGGAACATCTCAACTGGATCCGCAGGGGACTGAATCAAGAAAAGATCTCTATTTGTTTTGCACTTGCTTACCATAGCCCCTTGTGGTGACATATAGACCACCTGTCCTAAGACTTGGTGCCCATTAGTTTGGACCCCTACCACCCAATCCCCTTCCTTAAATCTGGGACCTCTCTTAAGGACTGGTACCCAAGCTAAGGGTATCGAAAAAATCATCTGATCTAAATTTGTATTGAGATGATGAGCATAACGAAGGAGTGACCTCAGTTGATCTCCCGTTTTCCAATCTTTCTTTCCTGAGTCCCATAAGTCTTTGATGCGTGTAACCCCTTTCTTAACCCATTGTCACCATGGAGGGGAAGAACTGTTAAAAATGCACCCATTTAGGTCAGTGATCCATCTATTACCAAAAAGTGGTTGACGAAGGATCTCCTCATATCTAGTAGGAAAGAGTCTGTCTGGCAATAGTAGACGCCTCCATATTTTCAACAAGTTTATCCACAGATTATCTAAAACCATATCCCTCCTTGCTTCCTCCCTATCTCCTTCTCCTCTTCCCCCTATCTTTGCCCTAGGGATAGTACAAAAACGATATTCAATCCATGAGAGCGGATGTATATCCTCACTTGAGACTGGAGCAAGTCTACGTATCTATTCAAAAGTCATAACCTGCCAAGGTATTCCAGTAGATATGATTAATTTTTTGACCCATTGTATGGCAAGTGCTTGGTACTGAAGATTTTGATCAAGGATTCCCAAACCTCCCCTAGCTTTAGGTTGAATCAAATATCTCCACGCCACTCTCGGGATTACCTTATCCTACCCCTCAATAAAAAAGTTGTGATATGTCTCTGCAGGGTTTTAGTGCGTACATTACTTATAAACCACAGAGCAGACTTATACCATATAGAAGCCAAAATAACATTATTAATGATGAGAGTTCTCCCAAATATAGAGGTGTGCTTGCTCTTCCATTGTTGCATTTTATCAATCGCCGGTCTCGACACCCAATCATCATGAGTCATAAGTTTCCCCACTGCCGTAAGAGAAACACCTAGGATGCGAATAGGGGCTTCTAGAGGTAACCATTTTACTCTAGATTGTTCTGGAGGCCTATCCCCCGCGGAATGAATCCACCAGCCCTGAGTTTTATTACCCCAATTAACCACCATATTTGAGACATATGAAAATTTTTCCATCAAAGCTTGAATTTCGACCATATTATCATATGTTGCATCCATCATTACTGTGAGATCATCTGCAAACATGGAGCAAACTGGAATGGCTTCTTCTGGAATACCCGAGATACGTAGTCTTTGCAAATTACGATTCGTTCTAAGGTTAGCCCCTAATGCTTCCATAATAATTAAAAAAAGGAATGACTCCAAGGGGTCTCCTTGTCTGACAGATCTTTGTAACTTAATTTCCGGAGAGATAAGCCCATTTACTTGAATTCTTGTCGTGGCATTGGAGTGAAGGATACGAACCCATTTCCTCAAATTGGGACCAAAGTTCATTTTAACCAGCCAAGCATAAAAAAAAAAAACAATCTACGTGATCATAAGTTTTTTCAAAATCAATAAAAATGAAGGCTGCATTTTGTTTGGATTGTCTAGATAATTTAACCATTTCATTAATAAGGAGAATATTGTCTTGAATATGCCTACCATTAATAAAACCAGTTTGCGAAGGATGAATAATGTCAGCCATAACTGGAATCAAACGATTGGCCAATGTTTTGGCTAACATTTTATACACAACAAACAATAAAGTGATCGGCCTATAATTCCTGATGTTCGTTTTATCTCCTTTTTATGCAGAAGCGTGAGGATACCCTAACCCACCATATCGCCCATCTCACCTGATTCCAATATTGAATCATAGAATTCCATGAGATCTGATGCAAGTAAAGGCCACATGGTTTCCCAGAATTCTTTTGGCAATCCATCTATACCTGGTGTTTTATCCTCATCCATCTGTAAAAGTGTTCTCCATATTTCATCACGAACTAATGGACGTTCTAGAAAATCTCTCTGTTATTGAGAAAGAGTTTATGTCATAGGTTGTAAGAAGTTAGTTATTGCAATGTTATCTTCCCTTCTCATTCCCGGATCCTTGGAGGAGGAAAATAATTTTTTGAAGAAGTCATAGGCGATCTTAAGACTTCCTGCCGAAGAAGAGGACAACACGGGATCAGACCCCCCTGGGTCTATAAGTCCTTCGATGAAAGATCGCCATGAACGCGATCGAGCAAGTGCAAAAAAGGAAGCATCCATTTCACCCTTTGTCGCAAAATTTTTTAGTTTGCCTCTAATTAAGTGTCCTTGCCAACGATGTTGAGCGAAGGATAACAATTGTTTCTTAAGATCCTGAATATCGACTGGATGAGGGAAGGTAGCAGGGTGATCTGTTAGTTCATGATTAAGAATTTGTTCTTGAATATTGATTTCTTGTAAATATTTGTTTTTAGCCTGCAGTTTCGAAAATTCATTACATTTTTTAGCGATAAATGTCAATTCATTACTAAACCAATCCTCATACGACCCGTGTCTATTTCGAGTAGTGTGCCAAAACTCCCACACATCTTTTATGTATTGTTTAAATTGACCTTGTGTTAGCAAGGATGTATTTAGTTTATAAAATCCTCTCCCCTGATCTGGTTTTTTCCTAAAGGCCAAAAGGGCTACACACATTTTATGATCCGCTCCTGGCCATGGGTTCTGAGGGAAGATAGCGGTCCATAATAGAGCTCTATCCAAATCCTCTGACATAAGGATCAAATCTATTCTGGAACAAGTGTGAAGTGACGATCCGCTATTACGAATGCATGTGAATAGACGCTCCTGCAGAAAAATCCTTCTATAGGTATCAAATAAATGCTCCCCTTCGCATAAAGAGTTTATTATTATCTCGTCCACTTCTACATATGCTGGACAGGGAGAAGGTATCTTCCAACGATCCATCCACCTATCCGGGGCCGCATTAAAATCTCATGCCATAATGACTGGAATCCCTTTCGGGATTTGAGATCTGATTTCTTGAAAAAAATTAACCTTCTCTTGAACATCATTAGG